CACCGGAATGTAGGTGGAAGACCCGGCCTGATGCACGAAAGCCGACGACTCGCTCGTCAGGGCGGTCTTCTCGGCCTCGGCCGTCTTGTTTTTCTTCGGAGGCGGCGGTGCCACATCCAACATCTCGGCTCCCCCTTCCTCGGCGTCCTCCGGCTCTTCCGCGAGGACCCGACGCCTCCTCTGTCGTGGGGGAGCGCCCGGACTGGTGGTGTCCCAACCGAGCCTGAGGGGATCTCGGCTTCCCGTGGAGGAACGGTCTCGGCAGACGGTTTCGGTGGAGCGGGTGCCGAGGTCCCAACCGAGCTGGATCCCGAGGACTTTTTCTTGCCCTGCCTCGTCAGGAAGTCCATACGGCTGGCCATTTTTCAACCTTTCAAAGAGCTCGGGTGCGCGCGCGCGTATTTGTTTGCCTCTTTCACCGAGCTGAACCCACACTCGCGCAAGAGGGGATAATATACTGTCCAAGGAAAGCAGTAGACGGGGTGAAAACAAGTATGATAACATATATGTAGGTGCACGCGTGAAAAGGTCAAGAAAAGGAGAAATACCGGGCTCGAAGAATTTGCTGTTATATTCGGGACAGAGGCCGTGCAGGATCAAACTTTCCTCCGCAACAAGGTCTTTGTAGTAGCGCTTTCCTTCATCAAGGCCCAACAAGGTCTTGACCTTCTTCACCAGGTCGTCACTTGCCTCGACGCGCGGATTGTGGACTGAAACGTAAATACCGACCTGTTAGCACGGAAAGACACTTAATCAGAAGAGAAGAAGCGAAAAAAAAGATGACTTACAAGTGCCGGAGATAAGGGTGGTGGATGGATGCCGAGCCGCATCGGGCGTCATCCACTCGCCGCCGACCTAGAACCACTCCGGCATGTAGCCGTGCAGCGACTCGGGGACCTTATGAACTAAGGACCTATCCATGCCCGGAGATACCGAGCTGTAGTAATTACCGGTCTCCCCGGATTTCTTGAAAACGAACAGGGCTTTCACGTCGTCACTGGTCGGGTCGGCCTAGCCCTGCTGACGGAAGAGGACGATGAGACCGACCATCCTGGCAAAAACTGTCGGCACGAGCTGACTGATGCTGATGTCAAGACCGCTAAAGATATCATTCAGAGCCCCCGGGAAAGAAAATCGAAGGCCGAGCAGGATACTCGAACGATACACACCAATGCAGCCCAACGGGGGGCAATGGATACCTCACCGGCATAAGGAGCGAAAAATCGAACCCCGGGACCAAAGCAAGCCTTCCCCCTCAGCTGGGCGAGGTCGACGTCCATTAGCACCGACACAGTTGTCCAGGCAGTTGCCGAGGCGGTGGACGGCCAGACACGAGTAGGGCGGCACCAGCAACCAGGGGGGCCGTGGTTGCGGCTTCAACTGCGGCGTCGGTCTCGACATCTTTACGACCCATGGGAACCCACTCTCGCCCATGAGTGTCGCCCTGGAGTGTCTCCTCTACGAGCTCGGCGTCGACATCAGATTCTCCCAGAGAAGCGACGCCGGACTCGTTCTCAACCTACTCGGCATCGGACTGGCCAGACCTGACGTCACACGGACGGCCGATATCGGAGTAACCCTGAGCGGCTGCGCCGTTTCCACCGCCGGAGGGGAGTAAACCACCAACTCGCCGGTCTCCTCCGCCGTGAACCCCTCACCGCCAGCGGGAAGATCGGCCACGAAACCAGGAAAATTCGACATATTCGAGGAAGAAAAATGAGAGATAAGAAAGGAAAATGGAATTACTGGTATGAAGATCGCCGAAAAGCTTGAGAAATCTTGAAATTAGCCTTGAACTTTTGCTCGAAACTCAGTTGCTCAGAGATTAAATCGCTCGAAAATTACAGAAGCCGTAAAAACCTCTCAAGGAAGACGATGGCCCATATATATACGCACGGAGGACCAATCACAGCATGACACGTGGCACAGGTTTTGAATTTACAAAATTATGGCGTGATCCGACGGCTGGTAGAGAAGCAATCCAACGGTTCATGAATGACCGCGTGGATGTCACGCGCCCCAAAAGTCGCTGCTTCACTGGAACGACGCACCGCTTGACGAGGGCGAATCGGATCGTGCCACGTGGAAAGACTCTAAAACGACACGACTTTCCATAGTCGACGGGAAGCGTAACGGACACGCTGCATTTGATGACCCGTCGCTTCGGGTCTGGGAAGGACGTGCGTGGTGACAGAAATTAACTTTGCAAAGTAAGAGTTGCGCGCCGACCTCGGGTGTATTCCGAAATAACGACCTCACTGGGGATGCCGAAGGCACCCCCTTCGAGCTCGGGGGCCTGTATGTTGACATACGAGTTCGCCCCCGAAAGAAACCGGACAAGGCAGCTTCAAGGGCTGAACCGGAGACCCAGTCGAATGTGAAGGTGCCGAGCTGAACTCCGAATTTAATTGACCTTGACTCCCCCGTGTGTCCATCCGTGAGCCCGGCGTTTGCGACATCTAAGTACCGGTGCCGGTCTGATGAGTCACGGGCTGGAGAAAGGCTCCCCAGGGACGGAAGAACGAAATGGGACCAGGAGCCGGCCTGAAGTCTCAGAACGGACCCCCCGATGACGGATGTCGGGCCTGATAATAATATAATAATGCCACTTGGAGAGCAATCATTGGTGATTGGACAAGGCGCCCTAGCCTGCAGGTGTACATCCACTAGCCATTACATAAAGCCTGACAGCATTAAATGACCCCCATGAGAGCATTAAATGCCTGCCAAGCAATGATGAGGGAAACCTCAAATCACATTTAATGCCTGTCAGAAAGACGCCGAACTGCTCAGCCGGAGTACTGTACGACAAGACTGGTGAGCAGTACCTGAACAGTGCCACATTTAAGGCCACTATAAATAGCAGCCCACCTCATTTATTTCTGGGTTGTAGAATTCCAACTGTCCTGCCTCTTTCTACACTTTCTCTCTCTAAACTTGTAAGGAATTTGTATAAGAATTTGTAAGTATATCGCAAGTGCCGACCTCGTACGAGAGGCCGACCTCGTGATCAGTTAATAAAATCATAATTAAACCGCTTCTCTTGTCCTTTTTCCTTTTCTTATTTCTTTTTCTTATTTCTTTAACCGTTGATCGAAAACGTCCATCAACAGGTATCAAGGTTCTTATCTTACACAACACACACATACGTGTAGATTCATATATATAGTTGGTCCTACTATTAAACCCTTCCCGACTAGAGCGTCGAAACCTCATCTGCCGAGACCCTTCTCGACTTTTTGTAGGTCATTGGAGACAATAAGTTGATTCAAGTTGGCAGAATGCATTTCAAACCGGACTTTGGGATAATTTGCGTAACATGGGCAAAAAAATTAAAGAAAAAATGTTTGCGTGGTAAGAATAAAAAAAATATATTTTTTTTCATACAAACACTCCGAATATAATGCATGTTCACCCTTAGTTTGAACTTTTAGTTTATTTACATCCCCTTTCAGCAACATTCATGCACGGGCATAATTTCAAAATTGGTTCTATAGCTTGGCCAATGTCCAATTTTCCACCCCGACATTGACCACTTTCAAACTTGATCCAATAATTTGACTATTTAATCAAATTTGGTCCTTTTTTATCCACACCCTGGATAAAAACTTGACGTGGTGTGACTAAATATGACATGGCATAACTGTAATTTAAGTGGCAGGATTATGAAATATTTACTTAAAATTAAATAATCCACATCAACTTCAGCCTTTAGTTGCAATTAATTAAAACTTTCAAAATTATAAAATAGCCCTTAAAATTAATTAAATTTTAAAAACAAGTCCCTGCAATTGTGAACTCCTCTGTACTCATCCGCCTTCGTCGCCCGCCACCGCTGCTGTTTGTTGGCTGCCGATCGGCTACCTCCGATTGAATTTTTTTTGGTATCATCTTGAAGCTCTTCTCGTCCTTGTTCACCTCCTACCATTTCCGGCGAAAATTCCACTTGTAAGGTTGTCAATTGCTCTGGTCAAAGTTATTAGAACTATAAAATTCCGGTCAAAATCCTTAATTTTTCGGCGATTCACAGCGACCCACCGAAATTCGAAGATACCTCTGAATTCCTGAGACCGTCGTGCAGCCAAAGGCGTCCACCATCTCCAGAACCGATAAATTTTTAGGCAACCCATTTTTCCGGCGGGTATCGAGGAGAACAAACCGGAGCTCTTGAAGGTGTTGGCCTTGACTGCAGGCAAGGGGGGCGGTGGAGGCGGTGCTGTTGATTGAAGGTTGAACGTGGCTGATTGGCCGAGGATGGTGCTCGAGTGGCGGCAAAACGGTGGTCGGCTGAAGAGAACATGTCAATGACGACGGGAAAGTGCAGAACGTGTTTCTTTGTTTAACTTTTTTTTTTTTTCTTTTAGTTCCAAAGTTCTGTGGTTTCCACATCATGTTTTTAGATGTATTTTAGTTTTAATTTTTTACTCCACATGGGCATAATTAATTCCACATGGAATAATTGGCTTATTAAATAAAAGTGAAGTGGACACGTCAGATAAAAAAATACCACGTTATACCACGTCACGATTTTATCAAGGGTGCGGTAAAAAAGGACCAAATTTGATTAAATTGTCAAATTATTGGACCAAATTTGAAAGTGGTCAATGTCGGAGTGAAAAATTAGACATTGACCAAATTAGAGGACCAATTTTAAAATTATGCCTTCATGCACGCTTGCGTAAGAATATAGTATAAACGGTAATTAAAAAGAAAAATATGTACTAGAACTTTGTAAATTAAATACAGTAACGCTTGTCACTAAAGATCAAAGCACAATAATTAATTTTTTTGCTTCCTTATTGCAAACGATGTGGGCCTCCTATAAATAATAACACATTAATTAAATCAAGTGGGCGACCCATACATCTGCTCTTTCCTTTGTACTACGCAGTAAATAATTAATCCAAAGCATTAACCAAGCACAGCCCTAAACTTTAAAAAAAACCCTAAACTTTAAATAAAAAAAAAAAAAACTGTTTTCTTGTTCTTGAAAAACAAAATCAAAGCCAGAGTGCCCCAGCTTCCTTGAGCAGCGGGACCAAATTGCCACCAATATGCGCAGCCATAACTCTGTCCATGGATCCAATGAGCTTGCCGCCTATGAACACGACAGGGACAGCTGAGTCAGCCCCACTCCCGAGCAGTTGTGAGAGGGCCCGCTCGATGTCTTTTCCGGCTCTCGGGTCTTCGTCGAGCTCATAAACCGTAGGGTTAACTCCCATTCCACAAAACAGCCTTTTCACTGCGTGGCACATGCAGCACGTGCTCAGGCTAAATATCACCACAGCACTGCCCGAGGCCAGCTTTACAACCTTCTCCAGGGCCGATGGTGACGAGTAGTAGCCATGTTGCGATTGGTACTGCATGATTATTGCTAATCGTCCAAAATCAATTGAAATTTGAGGAATCAAGAAAAGGAGGAAGATAATTAAGTAGATAAAAAAGTGTTCAACTAGGAATTTGGTTGTTGAGGATAAAATCATGACAAGTGAGAGTGGATATATATAGACTTTTGGTCTGTCTCTTGTTGTCTCAAGGAGTGCAGGGAGAATTTTATATGTAGTTTTTGCTTTAAAAGGGTAATTAAAATATTGTAAAGCCTCTTAAAAATGTGGGACAGGAATAGGACATTATGCGGAGAGTGAAAGGCGGCTACAAGGGGGCTAGCTTGTGTCCTAGTACTGCTTAAACATTTAATTTGGGTTGGATACCATACTAAATTCCATTGCTAAAGATTTTGCTACGGTGCAAATGCGATACAACACTTCATTTAATGCTGACGCACCGAATAAAAAGGTTCATTAATTAAATACCATTATTGTGTTAGAGCTGGTGGGTAATGTTACAGGAAACGGATAATTTACATCGGTTATAAAATTAAGGCTGAACACAAAAAGGCACGGGATATGTTCCTCAAGTTATAAATTTAAGGCAAATTTGTCCCTACTATCACGATATTTATCGAAGTTGTAATTTAATTATGACCTTTTCATTTTAATAAATTATATCACAATTTTTAATTTGTTGCAAACAGTCTGAAAATAGTAATAGAAAAGCTTATTTAGTCGAACAACAAATTGAAAATTGTGATATAGTTTGCACGAGATATACAAATCAGTGCACCAATTTGCAACAAACTGAAGATTGTGATATAATTTGCAAAAGTAAAAAAGTCGTGATTAAATTGTAATTTTGAAAAAGGTCATGATATTAAGGGTAATTTTGTCTAAAATTAAACAAAGTTTTGTTTATTTTGCGTAGATAGAATTTAAATTCAAATGTTTAACTAATAAAATTATTTTATGATTCTTAAATAAAATTCAAATGTCTTTTAATCTATTGTTCGAGATTCAGAAAAATAAAATAAAATAAAATAAATAAACTTACTCGTCTAACATTGGAAAATGAACTTGTATATAGAGATGACAACTGAGAGATAAAATTAGTACTCTTTGAACCATGTTCGGGTAAGTCCAATGAAATCTCCAGTGAAGAGCAGAAAGAGCATTATGCTAAGTAGACTAAGACAAATAAGATGTTAGGCTCGAGCTATGTAATTAATATTTTTGTATTTTCTGTAATTGTGTTGTAAGTAATTTAGAAGAAATGGAGGAGGAAGATGAAGTAGAGAGAGAGAATTAGAAGAGAGAGAAAGACATGAGAATTTTGCTAATTTTGTTGGTAGATTCCTTACAATTTTCCTCATACATACCCAATCGTGGGACCCATCTAACAAACTAAATCTGGAAAACAGAATAATAATAAATTGGGCTTTAGCGACTGCAGCCCAAAGTCATAATAGTAATTGTAAAGCCCAAACATAACAATAGAATTGGGCTTTAAAATAAAATTGCATAACTAATTAATAACCGGCCAATGTCTTGACCCGTTGCCACTTGTACTTCAGCCTCGATTTCTCATTTTTTTTTCAGAACAAACTCTTTCATCTTCTTCAATCTTCTTTCCTTTTTCATCTTCGAACCCTAATTCCCCTTTTTCTGCCAAATCTCCGCTCAAAACGACCAAAGATTCCCCTTTTTTTTACCAAAGATCCATCTTTTTCCGGATTCGGCTCTGAGTACATGACATTACCCCTGTGAATTTGAGATCCTTAACTGCAAGGATCAAGATAAGAAAATCGACGGCGAACAAAGGTTGCATCTTCCCACGAGGTTTGTGCCGGAGGTGTGTTGTCCCACAGAACAAGGACTTGAGGTATTTGTTTCCCATTTCTGAGTACCATGTTTTTATCAACAATGGCCATTGGATCTATTTTGACAAGACCGTCATCATCTGTTTCAGGAAGCTGGGGAGTGATTTGAGTACCAGGCTGAAGTTTCCGCTTGAGAAGGGAACAATGAAAGACGGGTTGAACCTATGATCCCAGTGGAAGTGCTAAACGGTAAGCAACTGTGCCAATTTTCTCTGTGATGGTATAAGGTCCATAGAATCGAGCAGACAATTTGATATTTTTCCTGAGTGCAGCTGAGTTTTGTCGATAAGGTTGTAGTTTGAGGAAAACTTGTTCACCCACTGCAAATTGCTTTTCCACTCGTCTTTTATCTGCATAAAATTTCATCCTAGATTGTGCCTGAGTTAGATTTTCCCTGAGTAGTTGTGCTTATGTGTTTCTCTCTTGCATGAAGTCCTTAACCTCTGTGTGATGAGTCAAAGTAGGGACCCATAGAGAAAGCTTGAGGGTTGTAGCCATAGAGGGCTTGGAAAGGTGTCATCTTGAGGCTAGAATGAAAATTGGTATTGTACCAATATTCAGCCAATGAAAGCCACTTGAACCACTGCCTTGGGTTGTGATGTGTCATACCCCTTAGGTAGTTTTCTAGACATTGGTTAAGTCTTTCTGATTGACCATCACTTTGGGGGTGGTAAGAGGAAGACATATCCAATTTTACTCCTAATAACTTGAAACGTTCCTTCCAAAATAGGCTAGTGAAGACCTTGTCCCTGTCAGAGACAATACTCACAGGCAAACCATGTAACTTGTACACTGAGTCCAAGAAAAGTTTAGCCACAGCAGGTGCAGTATAAGGATGAGATAAAGCCAAGAAATGGGCATAATTGGTGTATCTATCAATGATCACCAGAATCACATCCTTCCCACCAGACTTAGGAAGACCCTCAATGAAATCCATAGCTAAAAGTCCATAGCTATGTGTGTCCAAGCTTGGTCAGGTATAGATAGAGGTTGAAGAAGGCCTTGATAGAGCCCTGAGTGTGTCTTACTTCTGGAGCAGTCATCACAGCCTTGGGCCCATTTGACAACATCACCCTTCATCCCTGGCCAGTAAAATGTATTCTTGAGTCTCATGTAAGTGCCCAAAATTCCTAAGTGAGCTCCATAGGAAGAGTTATGCATGGTGGATAATATAGAAGTGTGTAAATTGGTACCCTTGCTCACCACAAGCCTGCCTTTGTATCTAATGAGGCCATCATGGACAATGAATTTAGGGTGAGAGAGAGGGTTTATAATGTTGGCCTGTAAAACCTTAGTGAAGTAGGGGTCATCCTTGTAACTTTCTTTGACATCTTGGACCCAAGCAGGTATGAGAGTAGAAACAGCCATACAGTCAATGGTGGCAGTATCTCTCTTGGAAAGTGCATCTGCCACTTTATTATCAGAGCCTTTCTTGTACCTGATTTCATAGTCAAGCCCCAACATTTTAGTTATCCATTTTTGTTGAACTGGGGTCATGACTTTCTGATCCAAGAGGTGCTTTAGTTCCTGTTGATCAATATTAATGATAAATTTATGGCCCTTTAAGTAGTATCTCCATCTTTGCACAGCCATGAGGACAGCAAGAAATTCCCTTTCATAGATAGATAATGATTGATTTTTAGGGCATACCAGCTTGCTCATGAAAGCAATAGGTTGTCCTTGTTGCATGAGGACAACTCCAATTTCCTTTGCCACTGGCATCTGTTTCCAGTGTGAAAGGTTTGTTGTAGTCAGGTAAAGCTGAAACAGGTGCACTAGTCATGACGTCCTTTAAGGATTGAAAGGCTTTGTCAGCATCTGGTCCCCACTTAAATTGGTCCTTCTTAAGCAAATCGGTGAGTGGTTTGCTAAGAATGCCATAACCCCTTATAAACTTCCTGTAGTTGTTTCAGTGTTTTAGGAGTAGGCCACTTGACCATACAATCAATATTTTGGGGATCAGTAGCAACCCCCTGGTGAGTGATGATGTGACCCAAATATTCTATCTTCTCCTGAGCAAACTGGCACTTACTCCTATTAGCATATAGCTGATGTTGGCTTAGGAGTGTCAATACCTGTCCAGATGAAGCAAGTGATCAGACTAAGTCTTGCTGTAAATAAGTATATCATCAAAGAAAACTAGCACACTGTGCCTTAGCAAGTCCTTAAAGATCTTATTCATTAGTGATTGGAAGGTAGCAGGGTGATAAGGATAATAGCCACAAGGCCAAACTGAGCCGAATGACATAGGGGTCGACCGGCCCGAGTGGTCGACGTTCGACCATAGTATCGACCACATAAGGAGACCGGGCCGAGGGTCGATCTAGCACCGACCGGCGAGGGAGATTCGGTCGAGGGCCGACTGGGTCGAAGGGTCAAGGGAGTCTCGACCGGTGAGTAGAGTAGGACTCGACCGGTGCGGATCGATCCAAAGGGCCGAAAGTCGACCTCCGAGTCAAGGCGCGTTAGTCGTTTGGTCGACAGGCACTTAGGGACTCGTAGCCCCGAAAGAATAGCCATACAACTAAATCCTATATAAAGAGTAAGTTCGATGGTTGGAAGGTAAGACATCATTTATTACTGTTACTGCTACATTCAATACACAAAAACTCTCTCATTCCGAAATATTGACTTGGGCGTCGGAGGGTCTTGTGCCGGAGCAATTCCGGCGTATTTGCAGGTACCGGTGAACATTCAAGCTTGGACTGGACCGAATTAAACGCACTTACGCCGCAATCGTGAAGAACCCTTTGAAAGACCGGAGTCACTCATCTCGGACTTATCAAATTGGCGCCATCTGTGGGGACCCTAGATCAACCGGCGTTGATCTGGTGGTATCTCATACATAGCAATCGGAAAACAAGTTGAAGAGGAGAAAACGGAGTGAAGAAGATGGAGCTAGAAAGAGAGCAGGAGCAGAGGGAAGAGGATAACTCGTGGTTGCACAAGCGTCCTGTGGGGGCGGGGCCGCCGCCGGGACGGGTGTTGTGCAGAAGCACGCCGGTGACCCCAGCCCCCGCCATTCAGCGGCCGCCGGAGCATGCTGGAGCGATTACAAATAGCCCGGTGGAAACTGAGGTAATGGAGACGCCAACAAGGCCGGGCACGGGTGTATTACGTCGGAGGACAGACAGAGAGGAAACACAGCTCCAC